TATATTAGAAGCTATTTTTTCTCTCTCTCTTAAGAAATTTTTCAGAAATTGTCAAATAAAATGTCAGATCCAACGGCTAAAAATTGGTAAGTAGATTGATTGTATAAACATGTGGTAATAAGAATATCCTACTTCTATTTTAAATCCTAACATATCAAAATAGGATTCGTGGCAAAAAGGGAGAACAATATTACATTACATTATTTTGGGAATAAATTATGGGAAAATTATTTGTCTTTTTGAATGACATAAGCTTGGCAAAAATGAGCCAACCCATCGGGTTGGCTCGTAACACGGCTAAAATGAGCCGGATTGGGTTAGGAAAATGAGTTACTAACTCGAGTCAGCCCGACTCGTTTCAGCTCGAAAAAAATCGAGCCAACCCACGGGTCAAACGGGTTGGCTCGTGGGTTATGATATTTTTAATATAAAAGTATAAAAATTAATGAAGATAAAGTGGAAAGATAAAACCTAAAATCTCAATTCCGAATACCCAAACAAAAATACCCTGCAACTACCAATAAGTCCAAAATCGTACATTAAGGACCTTTTTATAGTATGTGTGACAGTGTGAATGTGGTGCCATGTCGATAAGTCCAAGTCCAAATACAAAATTTTGTATGGTTTATCTATATAATGTCTTTGTATTGAATGAATTAATAATTTAGTGAAAAAAATTAGAAGTTATAGCATCAATGAAATTTTATTTTATTTTTCCATTTTTTCGAGCCAACCTCGGGTCGGGTTGGGTTGAGTTTTTTGGCTCGTTTATTTTTCGAGCCAACCCTAACCCGACTCATTTTTTTCGGGTTGAACGCGAGTTGGGTCGGGTTAAGCCGAGTTGACCCGTTTTGCCAACCCTAGACATAACTTGTGTCCTTTCACTCTCATAAAGAGGTGAAACCAATAACTTTATTTTTTTATGTTCACTCTCTCCCTCCCATGATTTATCTCATTCTCTCACACAATTTTATATCCTTTAAAATAATGCACACTTTACCTATAAATTATCTCCCGGATTTTTTAATATCGTCAGATCATATGAAAACTTTCAATTATTTATTGATATATTAACCATTATAATTTTAATAATAAAATTTATAAATAAATAAATAAATAAAATTGTTATTTTGATTACTAATGTTTTTAAATGAAGATTTTTTACCCGACGTAGAAAGATAAAAGAATCAATTCGATATTTTACTTACATTTGCATCATACATAGAATAATAGAACTGTCCAGCAATTATAAAATATTACTACTAAGGATTAACGTCTTCCAATATTTCATTATATGTGTAATTACAATCAATAACCAATACGCTGCAAAATGATCGTGATCCACAAAAAGTTTCTTCACTTTTGACCAGATCAGTAGAATATTACGACTACTACAAACCAGTAGTATCAATTTTTATTGCAAGTCTTTGGCATTTATTCTCGAAGAACTTGAAGCTCATCCATTCGCGGGTTGATTTTTTTTTTTTACTCGGACTTTTGACCATTATCCGAAGAACCCAATTTTCTAATACATATAAATTAAAACATTTGGAAGGAACATTTCAACAGAAATGAATGGAATATTGAGAACATGCGAGATTGAACAAAGAAAGTACTATGTTTTTAAACAATGATCAGCTCTGAATAACTAGCTAACCACGTACGGTTGAAGACGATCTGTTGGTAAGTTTTGTCTGGACTAAAAATGGTTGAAAAACTCTTCCAATGATGCTGATCGTGGTGCTCCTTCACCGTTCTCATAGAAACAAATGGGAATTTGCCTGCGAGACACTAACAGGTTTAAATGTTATAAAATGAGTTGTATACCTTTCATGGAAGCATTAATATTTATATCATGCTTAGGACTTACTGATATTCGTGTCACTATCTTTTTGTGAGTGGGTGATGAGATATTTGCGAAATTTAATCTCTTATTGATTCCTTATACGGTGGTTGTGCTGGAGTGATATGTTAAGTCTCATACTTAAAGAGATCCAATATAGCCATATTCTCACATTTTTATCATAAAAAAAGTATCTTCAAAAGGGCTTCTCAGTCAATCCAGGCTACCTTATACCTCTATGAGGCTTCTTCTGCAACTCTTCTAAAAAAACATATCAATAAGCCACCTCTATCTATAGCCAACGGAAAGACTTCATTGCCTCATCACTTGTTGAGAACAATCACGGACATTTCCCAAAATTCAGTCATCCCTCATTATAAATATCACTGTTGTAAACACAAAATATACAATTTTTTTTTTATATATACTTAAATTTGTTTGCATAAAATCAGAATTGAGCATCAAAGTCTCCTACATACAGTGAAAATTTTATTCATGTCTATATTTTGCTCCTGAATTTTTTTTTAAATACATTAAAAATAAAAAATATAAACAAGAAGAGAAAAGAAAATTATTCACATATATCTAGCTTTACTATTTCACGCGTATTTTATTTTTTTAAATACTATTTCAAGTTAGAGTAAAGTACCTTTTGGATTCTTAATAAATATCACAGGACCCAATTTTATCCCTTAGGGAAAAAAATCGACTCGGAGTCTTCTTTGAAATTCAAAATAGACCTATGTTAGTTCTTTTGAAGGACTAACATGATTCTTAATAAATATCACAGGACCCAATTTATCCCTTAGGGAAAAAAATCGACTCGGAGTCTTCTTTGAAATTCAAAATAGACCTATGTTAGTTCTTTTGAAGGACTAACATGAGTCTTCTTTGAATTGCAAAGGAACCATGATTTCGATGAGCTGTTTTTATTTTGAATTTTTAAGGGACCACAAGTCAACTTTTTTTCTAAGGTATTAAAATGGGCCCCGTAATTTTTGTTGAGGACCCAAAAGATAGTTTACTCATCAAGTTATTAAAAAAAAATTAAATGTTATTTCAAGCTATTCACATAGCAAATCCTACGGTAGTAGAGATGGCTCACCAACTATTCACATATATCAAGATGTGCTATTTCAAACGATTTTTTTTTTTTTTTGAGTTTGCACTTGCACACATGGGCAACCATGTAGGTCCGCTAGTTCTTGCAGCTACACCTCTTACCTTGTTCCATGGAAGACCCATGGATAGAACTACATTAAATCACTAACAAAGAGAGTTTCTTCAATCATGGTTAGCCCAGAACCATTCTGAAGTAAGCTGTGGTTGTGATGATGTTGTTGTGGTTGAGATCATGGTAGTTAAAATCCTGATTTAAATCTACGATTTTACGATTTTTTTTATCAAAATGATTTCATCAAAACTCCAAACGCTTTTATGATTTTACAATTTTTTATGATTTTTTTTTACGTTAGGATTTTACGTTTTATGATTTTTGATCCTCCTTTCGATTTTAGGTAAAATTCCGATTTTAACTATCATGGTTGGGATACATATTGTGAGCTACAAGCATAAATTGAATTGAGGGGTAAGAATTAGGCCTTTCACATTTTGGCATTTAATTTTAGTCCAGAGTAAACAATAAAATGAAAATTGTAAGGATCATAAAATAAAGACTTACTATTTCCATAATTTTCTATCAAATTATCTTTCCCTGCATTTTTTTTATGGTTAAGGCCTATATGCAATTAAATATTTGATGACTATGTTACTATGTTAATTAAGCCATGTAACACTGTCCAAAAGCGGTGCTTTTTGTTTGATTGTGTTTTGCTTCTTCTTTTTTAAACTATTTTATAAAACTCAAAACATAAAACAGAAACAACTTAAATATGTTCTCTAAATTTAATTTTAAAAATTATAAAAGAGATATAATTTTTAGAACTATTTTTATAAAATAGACATTATCAAACAGTTTTTTTGTTTTTCTATTCTGAAAATTAAAAAATCATTTTTGGAAACATAATTCAAACATACCCTAAATCTCTTTACTCTTCGCCTCTTTCTCCCTTTTCTATTTATTTAATGTATCTTTAGCTAAAGGAAGCATGCTTAATTTCTCGTAAACGTTTTGAAAGTATTATTATAATTTGTTTCTTAACTTATTATGACCTGACTATCATGGGTGACTGGCTCAGCCCGGCCTATTTTCAGTCCGGCTCAGACCCGACCTTTCAGAAAAGTAGAGTAGACTTAGGCTAATAAAAAAGTTTCTTTAACAAATAGGCCATAAATCAATTTTGTCAAGCCCGGCTTACAGCCTTGTAGGCTGGCATATTTAATTTATTAAAATAAAATATTAAAATATTATTTATTTTATGTGGCAAAGACGCAAAGTACTAAATACCAATATCTCTTACTTTTTGCGCTATTTTATTTTATGAAAGGAAAACTTGTTTAATGTCTCCAAATTTTACATGCTGTTGGAGCTTAATACCATAGAGTAATGGGTACCTTGCTGGATTATGATGTTACTAATGAAGATCTTTCAATAATACTCTTCTTTCCCTTGTCTTGATGGTGGTTTAAAGATTTTTAGATAAATGACATTCTCTTGTAGACTTTATTTCAGCATCCGGTAATTGTATTTTACTTATTTTCTCCATTTCTTTGACTCTATTCCTCTATGATATACATTCTAGAGCTGAGGTATTATGTTGACTCTTTCTTGTTTATCATTTTTTTCTTATGAGAAGTACTAGTGCATGTATGAATGGAACTTTCTTTGCTCTATACAATTATTTTTTTTGCTTAGTATCTACAGTGAGAGGCCTACCAGGCCTGTAGGCCATGTCAAGCTTTCTTATTTTAAAAAATGAGTCAAACTTGGCCTACAAATAAAGCCTTTAATACGACTTGTATATTTGCTTGGCACGTGACCCTTTGGATTATTTTTGGAATGTGCTTATTCTTATCTAACTTCCAACACTATATATTTCCAGACGCCCAAGCTAAAAATCCACCCTATTTTCTTCGTCTCCTTCATTCATATTTCGTATTCTCTCGTCAATAGATCACAGCACTAACTCGTCCTCTCCCAAAATCAAACCCGCACTCCCACAGTCACAAGCTAAATATCGAGTTTGTATAAATAAGAGTAATGGATGTAAAGGTAAAGAAAGGACGGTCTATACAGCAGGGTGAAGACGAGATGGGCCTGAGGAAAGGTCCATGGAGCGCTGAAGAAGACACCATTCTCGTAAATCACGTCACCACCCACGGTGATCGTCGCTGGAATTCCGTCGCTCGCTGTACAGGCACGTGTACTCTGTTCTAATTCTACAAAGTTACCTTAGTCGTGTGAACACAATTTTCAAGTGTTGGTGACAGAGTATCCATATCGTTCAATTCTCAGAAGAAATAATTTCATTTTTTTTTTAATAATAATAATAATTCAAAATTAAACATGCAGGCCTGAAGAGAACGGGGAAAAGTTGCAGGTTAAGATGGCTAAACTACTTGCGTCCTGATGTTCGGCGTGGGAACATCACACTCCAAGAACAGATAATGATTCTAGACCTCCATTCTCGGTGGGGCAATAGGTAATTGAAAGTTGGAACCTCTTTCCCTGTTAATAATATTATTTTTATTTTGTAAGTCAGATGACTTTGAATAAAAAAGTGGCAAAAATCCACACTATTAGTGAATCCTTTGCGTGCATAAAGGAAAGATGTGAATAATAAAATATATTATAGGTGGTCCAAAATTGCTCAGCACTTGCCTGGGAGAACAGATAACGAAATCAAGAATTATTGGAGGACTAGAGTCATTAAGCAAGCAAAGCAACTCAAGTGTGACGTCAACAGCAAAGAGTTCAAAGATGCCTTGCGTTATGTATGGATGCCCCGTTTGATCGAGCGGATTCATCCACCATCCGAAACTTACTGCCCGACCCGTATCTCCCCCTCGCAACTGGGCCCAAACCCAAGTGCATGTGCTGATGGAGTCCCTGTCCATCACCAACACGGGTTACACGGTTCAGGTTCAGGTTCTGGTTCTGGAACAGAGTGGCTAAATGATATTTACTTGGACTCTTCAGGCGTGGAGTTACAGAGTGTGTCTTCTGAACAATTGGGTCATAATAGTAATAATAATGTTTCGGGTCTATGCCCAGGTTTCAATAACCAAATGTTTGAACAGGGGAATGGTGGTGACGGGGACTTACTGGAGATTTTGTGGAACGATGAGAATATATGGCTTATGCGAGAACTTTGTGATGAACACGAAATTATAAAAGACAGTTTCCTTGCGTGACGCATCATGGCGCAGGACTATATGAAAGAAAGCAGAGCTAGCGTATGCTAATTTGGTGACTTTGATGTACACAGATCATAGGTAAATCAAGTAAAGGTCGAGTGGAATAGTTTTCTAGTTATTGCAGCAAAGTACAAAATGCTTAAACATTGCATGCGCTTTGTCTTTCCCTTTAACCAATAAAGCCTTTAATGGTAAGCTTCTTGCTGATTTTTAGCTTTTGTCTGTGCTCCTTTTGTGTTTTCGCCATGAGAAAGAGAGAAAGAGGGGTACGTTTTTTTTCTTTTTTTTTCACATAACAATAGGATCCCATGGTGGTAACTTAGGACAGGAACAAGCCTCTACCTATTCGTTAAAACTCAAAAGTGTTGTCTTAATTTTTAGGCATAGCAGCAGGTAAGTGTTTCAGATTACAACTTAACACTAACCTTATTTCAAAAAAGAATAAGGATATATTTAATTCTACGGAGAATCTTAAGCCAGTTCATTTAGCGGCTAATCCAAAGATCGAAGCCAATCACTACGACCTTCGTTTGTTGCTTCTACGCTTGTTAAAGTTATGCTTTTTAACATGGAAAAGTATAGTTTTTGGAAAGGAAGCAAGAAGAATGTGTTCTAAGATAAGAAGGTACCCGGGTTCCTTCCAATAACAAAAGAATGAACGTTTTTATGTTCTATTTCGAAAGTTGACTTGTTTTGCTTTGCTTTTCAACGTTGTTTTTGTGCTTGTAAGTTGTAAGTTGCACATATCTAATATTAGACAGCTTATGAAACGTTAAAAAGAATAAAGTTCGGAGGATAAATTAAAGTCGTAAACTAGTATATGTTTCCTCATTGAAAAATAAATGAATAATAAAACCTAGAAGTTTGTATCCTAATTTGACACACATGTTTTAGAATTCGAGTATATAGAATAATGAATAATCATTGAGAGATTGTTTTGTGTTTCGGGAGCAAATGTCTTTGGTTATTCTATTGAGTATAAACTATATCAGTTGTAATATCAAATAGCGACGGACTTTATAATTAAGGTTATATACATTCATGGAAAAAAATACAAAAAAATAAATAAAAATAAAATCAAAAAATCAGCTCTTTCCATGAGCTCCAATGAATTTAATGTTCTGTGCGGTGCATAATAGTAGAAAATATCTCATGACAGTTTTTTCTTCTCTAAAGTGAAATGGTAGAAAATAAAAGCCTTGAAATGATAACACACGTGTTTTATTCATCATTACGTTATGGGAATATCTTGAAATATCACACAATGAATTCCTTTTTCTTTTTTTTTTCAATTTTATTTTGAATATTGAGATTTTAAACGTAGATTGTCTTTAGCGAAAGTTATAAACGATGCGACACTATTTGTTTAACCATAAATTTTCAATATTTGCTTATCACTAATATTTCATATATTTAATTTAGCTTTTAAGAATTTAAGAAATAATGTGAAATTAGTAAATTTTTCTAATAGCCAAAACTAATATTTTAGGATTTAAATATTAGAAATCATTAAATATGAAAAATCATGATCATACAAAGGTGAAAATAAATATAAAGTATTAAATTTGGAGAATCATGACCATACAAAGATGAAAATAAATATAATCGTTGGATCAACATAATCGATATAACGATGAGATTGATTGGTAGTCACTTGGTAATAACACAACTTGATTGTCACACTATCCTTCCCCTTAATAAAATTTGAAGAACTTAAAAATTATTATAAAACGAGTAGAATATAAAAATTATTTCCAGAACCAAACTAGTGTTTTATTCTTTAGATTACAAGTTGATTGATAGATTGCTAGCTGACAAAGCTGATGTTTTTGATTTTTTTTTTTTTTAAAAACGACGTCGTCTTCCCTGATGCTCTCGTCCTCTCAGAAACCCTAATACGCTTCCTATAAATTCAGAATATGAGAGCACCGTCCTCGTGGGCTGATTCTGAAGCAGCATCGACGCTTCCTTATTGGGCTAGGTGTTCGTCTGATTTCGTTTGTAATTCATGTTGTCTTTCGTTTCTGTTGTGTTTGCGCTATTTCTTATTCCGAATTTTGTTAATAATCGTTTGAGATCACGGTGATGACTCCATGAAATTCAAGCTCAACAGACCGGAATGCAGGGCTTTCTCTCTTTAGGGAGATCGCTTTGCGTGTCGATACCCCGCTGAACTGAGTGATCTCTTCTATTTTTATTTTTCTTCATCCTTTGGTTTTTTATTTTTATATTTTGTTTGACCATCTGTTTGGCTTCGTGGAAAACATTTGTATGTGATCCTGTTTTCTTTCAATCTTCTTCTAATTGTTTCGTAGAGGTATGTGTTTGTCTTGGGAAAGAGTTTTCACAATGAGGATATAAAAGCTCCCTCTTCTGATACTTCAAGTTGAGGAACATTGCTGGCAGAATCGAACCATAAAACATTTAGCCATCTCTGAGTGATCTCTTTCCCATTTAAATCTTTGCTATTTTCCCTTGCATCTTGTCATAACCAATCAAACTATTTCTGTTTATGAATTTGTTTTTTGAAAAAATCGTATCCTAATTTTATATGGGTGAGGTCTGTGTGTGGAGTTCGGAATGCTGCCTACATTGTCTGATTATTTAGTTTTAGATTATGATGTGTCCTAATAATCTGAGACCTGCAACCATGTTGGTTGCAGTTGGAGAATTTTACCGAAATTTAGATGTGTAGATTAGTATTGAATCTGATGTATTCTAGGAACCTTCTCATAAGCTTTGTTCTTCATTTTAATCGAATCCTTAATCTGAAATTGCATTTACCATTTGGTTCAGACAATTCAAGAAAATAAATAAATAATTGATGATAATGGCGAAGATGTTTTTAACTTTATGAAATGGAAGGCACCAATTTGCTGGAGTTTGTAGCTTTCTCATTATGAATTAAATACCATGATTGGCTTACTTGTGTTGGGATTACTATGATTTTGATTATGGTTGGTTTAGATAATTTTGTTCTCGATGCAAACGTTTCATTAATTAAGGAAGAATACACTTCAAAAGGGATCTGAAAAAAAAACATTGAATCCTAGTATTAGAAAAGCAAAGCAATCTTATAAAAATGGAAGAGATCACTCTGTTCAGCAGGGTGGTCAAAGCGCAAAGCAATCTCCCGAAAAAGAGAAAGCCCTGCATTCCGGTCTGTTGAACTTGAATTTCGTGACCCCGATCTCATACGATGCATAATAGAATAGAAACAAAGCATAACAAAATTTCCTGGCCTGTTTATGAGATAACCGTTGATTTGTCGAGATCGCATCAGATGATAATGAGACATGAGATGATTAGTTCCTACAAACAAACGACAAGATGATTAGTTGCTGCTGACTGATCAAGAGGATACCACATATTTTTTAAACTAGATTAAATTATACTCCATCCTTAGTCCTTCCTAAGCTCGCCAGTCCGTATATCGTTGTAACCAGGGTCGTAAACAAACCAGAGGTCTTATAGGGGCCTTTGGCTCTGAAATTAGTTATTGGAACCAGGCTTTTGAATTGAAGTCTATAGAAAATTAACAGGACGTGACAGACTTAAGATACACCTTTCTTACACTTTATTGGGGAGAATCGAACACATACTTTCTTTTAAAATATATATATATATATATCTTATAAAATAATGGTTTCAGAGAGGGGGATGAGTTTTTGTTTCTCTTGCAATATAATTTTTTTTTGAAATATCCTGATTTATTATTTCCAAATCCCAAAATGACGTTTTGGAATTTCTAGCGATAATTATCTTTTTTTTTTTGGGTATGCTTAGAGTTAATTATCTTTTATACAGATATTAGCTTTTTATATTTTTTATTTAAAAATATAATTTTAACAAATAACTTATTCTTTAAGTATATAAATAACTTAATAAAATTAATTATATATATATATTCCTTAATTAAACTATTAGCTTATGCTGAGAAAACAGTTTCATAAAATACAAACTAATTTACTTAATATAATAAGAATATGTTTATGTTTAACACATTCAATTCTTCATTATTTAAAAGGTATTTTTTAAATTTTATTTTTTTGTATTTACTTATATAGGGAAATGATCATTCGACATTGATGTCAAAACAAAAAATTTGATATCAAATTTTAACCTTTGATTTTCATCAATCTAACGGTTATAATTTATTGAGAATTAATAATTAATAATTAATAAATAAATGTAACCCAATAAATTATAACTGTTAGATTTATGAAAATCAACGGTTAGGATTTGATGTCAAACTTTTTGTTTGGGTTGACACCCGTGTCAAAGAATCATATCCTATTTATATAATATTATATTATATTTTAATATTATTTATATTTATCATATTTTAACATTTCAAAATTGAAAAATATAATTAAAAATCAAATTAGATTCTCTCCTCATGACAGTTAATCTTCATCATTTTTTGCAGTGTTTTAAAACTCGGATCGGTCATCGAACCGGTCGAGGTACTGGGTCACTGGATAATTGGTTCAACCGGGTTGAACCGGTTTTACTGTTCACATATGAAAAATATAAAAATATTACTTGTATTAATAAAAATTCACATAAGAAAACTATCTATGAACTTCAAAAAATAAATTGGTTTTCAATGATAGCAAATATTATATACTTCTACGCTTCTAGCTCTAGACCGTTGAGATGAGAACATGAGACCATCAATGTTTATCACCACTTAACTTCATGAGATCATTATAAGATACAACTAAATTACATAAACGAACTACACTAATCTAAAATACCTTATTATTTTCAACTTACTTTTAATCATATTCATCATAAAATATGAATATGATTTAATTCAAGAGTTTTTATCAACAACAAAAAAATTTTACCAAAAAAAAAAAGAAGGCATAACCGGTCTAACTACCCGCTCGGACTGGGGAACCCACCGGGTCACCGAGTCCCGGATCGAACCGGCTGGTCCGAGCCGGGTTTTAAAACACTGATTTTTTGTATCAAATTAAATAATATTAAATTACTAAAATACCCTAAAACCAATGTGTTTATAGATTATTTTATTTTAAAAAACTTTTATATCTTCCAATAAGGGTTTTGAAAAAATTAAGTATTTCGTCTAAAAAAGAAAATAAACACGCACAAAATTATTTAGTAAAGAAACTTGTTGGTCTTTCGTCTAAAACAAAGTATGTAAGACCCAAAGTAAATAAATTACTTAAACTCATGAATAAAATTTCTGGTCGCAACCAAGTTGTCCAGATACAAGACCCATTCTGATTTTTCCATTTTGGAATCAGAATGCTGACCGAGAGTCGCAGCCATCCCACTGCTGTTTGAGTCTATATCATCATTAGAATTTTTATTTTTATTTTTTATTTTTTACGCTTGTTCTACAAGCGTGGAAGAAGTCAAAGGGTCAACTCTATATCGAAGGTCAAAGTTAAAAAACAAACAAAGCGTACGAATAATAATTTAATATCCAATAATTAAGTAACAATTCTTAGTTGTAAAACTATTTAGCAGCCCACCAAGCACAGGTTTATAAAAATACTTTGAATCTAGAAGTATAGATCGTCCTAAATTCATTGACAGCTACGTTGATCTCGAACCTCTTTATATAATCACCTTCTCTAGCATCAGCCATATCATATCACCAAAACTACCTCTTTCTCTCACTCCAAAAACAGAAAAGCAAAGCCACTCTAGTCTACAATTAAGTTTATTGATTGTAACATGGAGACGGAGTATGTCCACATGATGAGAAGTTTATCAGGAGCATATCGAAGTGAAGAAGAGATGTTAATAACCAAAGGTCCATGGACAGAGGAAGAGGATTCTGTTCTCTTCAACTACATCACTGTCCACGGCGAAGGACAATGGAATTCTGTCGCTCGTTCTGCAGGCAAGCAAGCATTCATGTTTTTATTATGCACTATATATATATATATATATATGAGTCCTTTCTCATGATTATTGACTGTTGTGCTTAATCCTAGTAACTCATATTTTCAACTACAGGTCTAAAACGAACAGGCAAAAGCTGCAGATTAAGATGGTTGAACTATTTGCATCCAAGTGTTCGACGTGGGAATATAACCCTCCAAGAACAGCTCTTGATTCTTGACCTCCATTCCCGCTGGGGCAATAGGTATTATTATTATTATGGAGTATATTTACCGGTGCTAGATTTTATTATAATGTTTGTTTGTAACATATAATTATGTTAATGGAACCATTGAAGGTGGTCAAAAATAGCTGAGCAGTTACCGGGCAGAACAGACAACGAGATAAAAAATTATTGGAGAACCAGAGTGGTGAAACAGGCTAACCGACTCAAATGTGATATCAACAGCAAACAATTCAGAGACACGTTACGTTTTGTATGGATGCCACGCATGCAGGAGCGGATCCAGGCTCAGGCCTCATCCGTGAGTACTGGATCCAACACTGAAGCACACAGCGACCCTTTTGAAGAAAACCCCTGTTTGTTGTCAGAGGTTGATGTTCATGTCCCTTCTCTCTCTGATTCTAGCGTATGCGTATCTAGATACAGTGCAGAGAAAGGTTACAATCCATGGCAGATGAGAAACTACTCGGATATACCAGGCTATGGTTTCGGTGGTGTGGACTTGTGGACGGATGAAAATATATGCTTCTTGCAACAGCAGCTAGCTGATGATTAATTGTGGTTATGTTTTCTTACAACACTTTTAGCAAGTTCCAAAACCTCTAAATTTATGTGACATTATATTGCTAAGTTGAAATGGCAATGTAGAGCTCCTGATGATTGATTAATTAATTGCTATAGTCATATATATAATCCTGCCACATGATATTATGTGAAATAAGAGACTGTATAGTGCTTTTTTTTCTAAATCTAAATTACCTTTACCAACAATATAGTTCGCTTCTTTAGGGTTCAGATTCATTATGTGTGAGGTATGCCTCTTTTTAATCGGGTTTCGCAAATTTTGGGGAACGAAAAGTCGGGTTTGATATTAAGGAAATAAATAGAAAAATTAATCAGGACACTAAGAGGAGCTTACGAGTTGCAGACTTGTAAATTTGTGTTTCGCGCTATCTAGAAGAACAACTGAATGAAAATGTGACAGAGGTTTGACATTAATTAATTCAGTATGAGGCTGGGTTAAGTATTCAGTATAATATGATTTAAATTCAAAGTCTTTCTCGTCGAAGCTTGGGCACTAAGGGCCGCAACCTTTGAAACCAAAACAATTTTATTCTTCGTTCTTGAGTTGTGGACACGTGATTGGATAGTCAACTTTCTTTTCTTTTCTTTTCCTGTCCTATAATGGTCAGGTCACAGCTACCCCACACCCATTTCAAATGAAGCACGATTTAAAACTCGAATGGAAGTCAAAAATCAGTTGGATTAAAAATATTTTAAGAACTTATATTGGCTTTTTGTCCTTGGGTAAATAGTTTGACCAAAGATTTAATCCGATACAATATTACTGTTTTTGCCTTAATATGGTTTTAAAAAGTCACTTATATTTTTTTTTGTTAAAAACAAAGAACATTTTTTGAGATAAAATTATCTCTTACAATTTCAAAATAATATTATTTTGGAGTTTAAGAAAAAAAAACAGAATATTTTAATAAAATACATGATACCAAAGGAAAGTAAAATTACTAAATATCTTATATTTTTTTTCTAGAATCAAAATAACGTCATTTTAGAATAGTTTGAGATATTTTAATAGGAGAAACACTTTTTTCGTTAAAAATAGTTTATTTTTTACTTATTAATTTAAATTAATTAACATTTTTAAAAAATATTAATCACACACATGGGTGTGACCCGACCCGCCCCCTTACCAAACGGGGCAGGTCGAGCTGATTTTTTCAACTCGCCAGCCGGCCAAGATCGCTAACATATTTTTTTATTTACACCTAACCTAAACTAACTTTACTATTTAATTATAAAAAATCATAGAAAATTTACTGCATTTTCCAATTGTTTCCTAACTCTCCTTCCCAATTATTAAATTGTAACTTTGTATTGCATTCATTCTGTTTAACTTTACAATTGGCTAGCCATTAAATACACAATGCTGAAGGCACGGTTGTTATTCTTCGTAACAACCAAAACAAATCTGATCCTAAGAATCTAACAAACTAACAAAATAGATAGGCTATTAATCCTAACAACTATATACAGCAAATCTGTAACAATATAGGGAATATTCTTATTCCAACACTCCCTCTCAAGTTTGAGCATGGAGATTCGAAATGCCCAACTTGGGAAGAAAAGCAAGAAAGGAGGCTTGACCAAGAGCCTTTGTAAAGATATCTGCTAGCTGCATGTGAGAACGAACAAAAGTAGTTCGAATAGTTTTGGCCAGTAATTGTTCGCGCACAAAATGACAATCAATTTCGATGTGCTTGGTTCGTTCATGAAAAACCGGATTTGCCGCAATGTGCATGGCTGATTGATTATCACAGCATAGTTCCATAGGTGCATTGTGCTGTATTTGTAACGAAGCAAGGAAAGATTTCAACCAGACCATTTCAGCTGTTGCAGCAGCCATAGAACGATACTCAGCTTCGGCGGAAGAGCGAGATACAGTTAATTGTTTCTTCGTCTTCCACGATATAGGGGAGGAACCAAGCATAATAAAAAAACCAGAAATAGAGCGTCGAGTTAAAGGACAACTCGCCCAATCAGAATCACAAAAAGCGTGTATCTGAAGATCACTATGAGAGGAGAGAAGAATGCCTTGTCCTGGATTTGTCTTAATGTACCTGAGAACTCGAATGGCAGCTTCATAATGAGCCTCTTTTGGTGCTTGCAGAAATTGAGAAAGTATATGAACAATATAAGTCAGATCAGGTCGAGTGATAGTGAGGTAGTCCAATTTGCCAACTATCCTCCTATATCGAGCTGGATCAATATAAGCAGGGCTATCATCCAGAGCCAAACGATGATTTTGTTCCATGGGGAAAGAGACCGGTTTACAATTTGACAAACCGGTATCCTGAAGTATATCCAATGCATATTTCCGTTGACACAAGAAAATTCCATCTTTGTTACGGGCAATTTCAATGCCTAAGAAATATATCAGAAGCCCCAAATCTTTAATTTTGAAACAACTGTTAAGATAAGCTTTCACTTAGGCACAAGTATCAGAATCGTTTCCTGCTAAAACAATATCATCCACATAAACTAACAAGGCGAGGAACGTGGTCCCACTGCTAAAAGTGAATAAAGTATGATCGGCTTGAGATTGAACAAAGCCATATTGTAAGAGGGAAACACTCAACTTAGCAAACCAGTTGCGAGGAGATTGACGAAGGCCATACAATGAACGTTGCAAGCGGCATACCTTGTGTTCATGAGCTTTATCAAAGCCTTAAGGAATACGCATATAAACTTCTTCATGCAAGTCACCGTTAAGAAAAGCATTGTGGACATCCATTTGATGAAGATGCCACCCTTTAGCAGCCGCTACTGAAAGAAAAACACGAACACTGACCATTTTGGCAACGGGAGCATATGTCTCAGTGAAATCTTCGCCCGCAACTTGATGATTGCCTGCTATGACTAAACGTGCCTTGTAGCGTTCCACAGTACCATCGGAAAGATATTTAATTTTGTATACCCATTTGCACGGTAGAGCATGTTTTCCTGGAGGCAGGTCTGTAATACGCCAAGTATTATTCTCTTCAAGGGCGTGAATTTCATCTGCCATAGCTTTGCGCCATTCACTTTGAGCCACTGCCTCTTTAAACGATCTTGGTTCCTTACCTGCATCAATCGCTGCAACAAACTCGCGATGTTTTCGACAAAATCTGTTAGTTGTCACATAATTAGCAATTGGATATTGCATACCTGAGGGAAGAGTGGAAGAGGCGATCTGAGAAGTGAGTGTATCTGTTGGTAAGGACTTCACCGTATTGCACTTATAGTCACTGAGGTATGAAGGTGGCTTTCTTGTTCTAGAGGATCGAGACACACCCGATAGATGGGACTCAGCAGCTGGATTGTCACTTGCTGAAGAAATGACACCTTGGACCTGTGTTGGATCAGAACGAGTTGCAACTGGTTCGGCTGAAGAGTCATCAGAACGAATTTCAACTGGTTCGGCTGAAGAGTCAATGCCTTGGACCTGTGTCTGATCAACAATAAGTAAAGAATCCGAAGAAGGTTCAACTGGTAATGGAGTATCACATCGTGCAGGGACTGTAGTTTCATCATCATGCAGAAAACGAGGCAATACCGGAGCAGGAGGAATGATATTAAGATCAGCAAATGGAAAAATGGTTTCATGAAAACTGACATCACGTGAGACAAAGCATTCTTCAGTTTCAATATCAAATACCTTCCATCCTTTAACACCATACGGGTATCCAATGAAGATGCACTTCCTGGAACGAGAGCTGAATTTATCTTGGGGCTTTGGTTGCACGGAAGCATAACATAGACAACCAAAGACCCTAAAATGATCAAAATGAGGAACACACCCGAATAGCAACTCATGAGGAGTTTTGCCTTGAAGAAGCCTTGTAGGAGTTCTATTTATTATATGTGTTGCGGTCATAACACAGTCCCCCCAAAACCGTGTAGGCAAATTTGCTTGAAATAAGAGGGCACGAGACACATTGAGGATATGTCTATGCTTTCTTTCGACGCATCCGTTTTGCTGCGGTGTATAGACACAAGAGGTCTGATGAATCATACTACTGTCAGAAAATAGTTGACACATCTGTTTGGATTTAAACTCAGTACCATTATCAGAACGAACAATTTTAATTTTTGCTTCAAACTGAGTATTAACCATGTTAACAAATTTAGAGAAATAAGAAAATGTTTCGCTTTTGTCACGCATCAAATGAACCCATGTAACACGGCTGTAGTCATCAACAATCGTAAGAAAATAATGAGAACCATTCAAAGAGGAAACACTGTAAGGACCCCATATATCACAATGGATCAGATCAAAAACTTTATTACTTTTGTGGTCATGAAGTGGAAATATTGAACGTGTCTGCTTTGCGCGATAACAAACGTCACAAGCATTATTACTTAAATGATCAACACGAAAATTAATGTAACTAGAAAGCAAAGAAATAGCGTCATGAGATGCATGGCCGAAGCGTTGATGCCACAATTCTGGTGAGTCAGAAGAACGAACAGCAAGAGCAACAGCTTGATTTGGTCGAAACACATACACACCACCTTGAAGATCACCCAATCCAATCTCCATCCTCAACTTGCGGTCCTGCAAAATGCATTTTTCATCATTAAATATAACTTGGATATTATGATGTTGCGACAACTGAGACACAGATATAAGATTGCAGGTTAAATGTGGGACAAATAATACGTCAGATAATAACACCAAAGGAGCAAGTAAAATGGAGCCTTTCTTAACGGCGTAAGTAACATTGCCATTAGGTAAACCAACAGCCAATGGTGAAATATCTGTAACATTATGGAGCAATTCCAGGCTTCCTGTCATATGTTTGGATGCCCCACTATCAATGAGCCAAGTAGAAAAAGCATTTTTACCAGTGAGCTTGTCCGTTGTCGGCTGAGATTTGTCAACCAAGGAAAGTAATTGAGTTACCACCTCTGGCGTTAAGACTGAGAATGCATTCGCTTGAGCTATTGGTTCAGATAGTTGCGCTGCATTTGCAACTAGTGACTTGGTCTGCGAAGCTCCGTGTGATGAATTTCGGTCTCTGGAAAAATATCTATATTCCAGAACGACCACCGCGGCCTCTCCCCCTGCCACGATCGCCTCCAAAGTTCCTGTCACGATCAGGAGGATAGCCAAATTTCTGCCAACAGCGAGAAGCCTCATGGTTTGTTTTTCCACAATGAATGCATGGCGGACGTTCAACATAGTTGTCACGGCTTTGAGCCGCAAATCCCACTGCATTAGGAGCTGGGGTTTGTTGTCGAGCAATAGCACGGTGAGTTTCCTCCTGGGTGACAATAGCATAAACCTTATTCAATGTGGGTAAAGGAGAGGTATTAAGGATTTGGGAACGCAGATTCCCATAGACAGAGTCATCCAATCCCATAAGAAAAGTGTACACTTGATCATGCTCCCTTGCATCTTCGACGTCTTTCGCATATACACAGTCACCAGCACACACACATGAACGGTGGGTTTGGCTGCTTTGAAGTTCATCCCACACAGCGCGCAGTTGCATGTAGTATTCTCCGATGCTGCTTCCACGTTGCCTGATGTTGGTAAGATTGACTTTCAATTGGTACTGCTTTGAGAAATTTTCAACAGCATACCTTTCCTTCAAGTCGTCCCACAGAAGTTTTACCTCATCGAAACACTTAATAAAAGGCTGAAGCTTCGGATCAATGGTGTTATGAATCCACCCATTGATCATAGAGTTGTTCATCTCCCACGCTCTCCATTCAACTGGGTCTGTTTGTGCTAGTTTCTTTATGGAACCATCGATGAACCCCATCTTATTCTTGGATTTGAGCGCATTTTTCATCAATTTGGCCCAATTATCATAGTTGGTATCACCTTTCAGCATTACTGTTGTCAAAATAATTCCAGGATTATCGAATCCCGCAAGATAGTAAGGTGAATTTGGGTCAGAAGGTTTGGAGCCACTAACCCCTTCGATCACCATGGCAAAGCTAGCCAATGAATTCAGAAAAAGGATATGCGGAAGTGTTTGGATCGTACCACTGATACCATGTTAAATTGTAACTTTGTATTGCATTCATTCTGTTTAACTTTACAATTGGCTAGCCATTAAATACACAATGCTGAAGGCACGGTTGTTATTCTTCGTAACAACCATAACAAATCTGATCCTAAGAATCTAACAAACTAACAAAATAGATAGGCTATTAATCCTAACAACTATATACAACAAATCTGTAACAATATGGGGAATATTCTTATTCCAACACCAATGAACTAAAATTATTATAAAAATGTACTTACTAGCATACTTAATCAAACCAAAAAAAAAATTTGTTCTCTAACTTTTAGAAAGCTAATATATTATTGTTACTACAATTAATTTTAATTATTTTTTGTTGGAGCTTAACGTATGAATAAGATGTAATTTAAAAATAAAAAAATGCATAGTAAAGCGAAAAGTGTCCCAAAAAGTTGACCGCGTGTCGGAACGTTTCGTTGTTCGACACGTATCCGACATGCATCTTTCAAATTTTTTCCCGTGTCCATGCTTTGTAGCTCCCTACATGCAAAATACAGACCCAATTGCTAAAGGCCTAAAAAGTCAGAGAACCCCTGCAATATAACCACAAAGGCATACCATCTCGTAAAGGAGACATGAATCTCGTTAAATATGTGGCCATTAAGCCAACGTGACTAAACTTAGAAGAAACTATCATTGATCAAATCAGCAGCCTAGACAAGTTGATCTCCACTAGGAACCCGTGGATGGATGGCAGCTCCAACTTGCCACTATACCTGTTGGAGATTATATGTAACGTATATTGTTTGAATTCTTTGTAACCGTAGGTTTGAATTCATTGTAACGTATATTGTTTGAATTCAATTCTTTGTAACCGTAGGTTTGAATTCTTTGTAACGTATATTGTTTGAATTCTTTGTAACCGTAGGACTGTTTAGATAGAGTATTTATTTGTTTTAGTCTGTTACGTTGTTACCATTTATTGTATGTTCTCCTATTTAAAGGCTACCAATGAATGAGATAAACACACAGTTGAAATATCAAGTTTATCTTGGTATCAGAGCCTTGTTTTGCAGCATAAGTAATAGAACCATTTGGTAGAGTCACAGATAGAGGGGGAATAGGTGTAATGTCAGCTAATAAAGCCAAAGTGCCTGTCATATGACGTGAGGCCCCACTATCAATGAGCCATTGAGAATGAATACGCTTACCAGATAATTTTTCATGTGACTGAGGCTGGTCTACCAATGTTAACAGTTTGTTCACAATTTCTGGGGTCAAAACGGAGTGTGCAGCAACTTGAGAAGAGGCAGAATGAGAGACGTCTGGAGGAAGAGAGTTAGCAGCAACTGGGTGTGAGGCATCCATTCCAAACGTCGCATGAGCATGCGTATAACGTCCTGCCGAACGTCCCCCCCTTCCTCGTCCGCGACCAGCACTCTTGTTTGGTGGAAAACCATGAACGTTCCAGCATTTGGAAGGGTCGTGATTGGTCCTGCCACAATGAGGGCAAGGTATTCTATCTTGTGGTTTGTTAGGAACCATCCGCTGCTGCATGGATGTGTCTGACTGCTTCATGGAATCGATTTGGGCTGAGTATCCCACTACCTGACTCCTCTCATCTTGAACGCGAGAAATACTACGATGGGTCTCCTCTTGAGTGACAATTGTGTACACTTTGTTGACACTAGGAAGAGGAGAAGTGTTGAGGATATGGGATCTCAGATTTCCAAATGTAGATTCATCCAGCCCCATCAAAAATTGAAAAACGCGATCATGCTCTTGCTCCTCCTCGATTGCTTTGGCAATGGCACACTTATCACCACAATCGCAAGACTTGCGAGTTTTGCTGTCTTCCAGATCGTCCCATACAGCCCTGAGTTTGGTGTAATAATCACCAACGCAATCTCCATGTTGCTTGATATTGGCTAAACTGGATTTCAGTTGATACTGTCTTGGAAAGTTTTGCACTGCATACCTTTCCTCTAGGTCATTCCATAAGTCCTTGACGTCATCAAAGCACTTGATGAATGGTTGAAGTTTTGCATCAATGGTGTTGTGAATCCAACCATTGAGCATCGAATTGCACATCTCCCAGGCGCGCCACTCTTCGACATCATCCTCTCCTGGTTTCTTGACTGAACCGGTCACAAAACCCAATTTGTTTTTCGCTTTCAATGCGTTTTTCATGAGCTTGGCCCAGTTGTCATAGTTGGCCTCACCACGCTGCATGACAATCGTTAACAAGAGACCTGGACTGTCGGATCCAGCCAAGTAAAATGGCGAACTAGGATCAGTTGTTTTGGACTTGCTGCCACCACCTGGTGCCATGTTAAATGAACCAGCTTTCGCACTGAAAAGGAATACGGAAACGTGTATACTAGGATTGTATGTTCGCCTATTTAAAGGCTAGCAATGAATGAGATAAACACACAGTTGAAATATCAAATTTATCTATACCCAGTGAGTCTACTACAAAACATAGGCTTGCCCATTAAGGAATAGCCTGAGAGAGGCCACCCTTCTCCACCAATTAACGTGAACATCGTCTTATGAACGAAGGTGATAAAGACGACGCTCAAGAGCTATAAATACAGAGGTCATTGATAGATATGATATCTATCTTTGAATACTTGAGAGTCGGGTGTCTTTGTACATACCCTCAGTCGCTCTCATACTACCTAGATAAGCAAAAGCACGGCCTAACCACCTCGCAACTCAAACCAACAACTCGAATCTTGGCAACAACTCCTCAATCTTTCCTTCTCCTCATCAATATTCTTTATCTTCAATTGTGTGTTATTAGGTCCAGCTCAATTGATGTTGGACTAATCAATATTTTTACAAGTGAAAAGACAATAAATAAATACGTGTAATAAAATGGACACAAAGTATAAACATGGCAAAAACTAAAAATAAAATAAAAATCCGTGAAAAAAGTTATAACTATGTAATTTGAAGAGTAATACATAATTATAATAGTAAAGTTATACTTTTTTTATTTTTCACGTCAGCAAACAATGTTTGAACAAAGAAAAAAAAGTATAACTTTAATATTATAACTATGTATTATCCTTAGTACATAATTATAAATTGTTAAAAGAACATAAGTTAAATTATTTAAAAATCATTTTCCCTCTTTTGTTAATTATAACTAATGAATGGCCGAGATCAAAACAACACGCCATTTGTAGTCCCCAAAAAGCAACAAAAGTTATTACAAAATAATAGAAGAGAAAGAGTGATGTTGAATGCAAACACGAACAGCAAAAAAATGTGCTATTTAACCACAAGATCTGTAACTTTCTCAAAACAAATCAAGTGAACAAACCTTGATTAATCATTATGTCCATCAATAAGCATATCCAAAGAAGTTGGGAAACTTACGAATTCCGATGTCAATTACAAATAAAAGTTCTTTTCTGTACCAAAAAGAGAGAGGTTATTTTCAGCCTTTTTTTTCCACATATGATGGCTCCATTACTTTCTTAACAAAATATCAAGTGATCTTGAATTTGACCATAATGTTTTACCTTAGGGGTTCTGTGAAAAATAAACATCATATCAGGATCCCTGTGGATTAAGATTGGACTTCAATGGTTGCTTATCTTTAACAAAAGTACCACTAAGTGGACCTTTTTTTTTTTTTTTTTTCTCAAGTGTAAACAATCCCTAACGTAAGCTTTTTAGACACTATCAAAATCTTCGAAAACAAAAAGGACTTCGAAAAAAAACGAAAAAAAGAAAAAGAGAAGAAGAAACATCTATCGAATACTAACTCCTCCTTAGTCCTGACAAATTAAGGAGGGCAAGAATATCAACACTGAATCTGCGACGTAGAGGCAGCTACGAGATGGGTATCTTGTTGGGCCTTGAATAGATCAAGCCGAGAATCACCGAGTCGAAGAGAGTATGCTGCTTGCTTGTACTGGGCCCACGTGAAGGGCTTGTACATACTTGGATTTTGCGGTTGTGACACCATATTCGGCAACGGAGTTATCCACCAATTCGGTGGTGGCGCTCCAAAGTACATCATTGACATCCTCGCCTTCAATGGGTTGGTTAATGCCCTGTGTCTCGCGCTTATAAACTTTCCATTTGTCAAAACCTTCATTCATTTATCAAAATAAATAAATAAATATTATGCAAAACACGTTATTATTTATTTAGAAATTAGAAATGTAAATAAGATGGAAAAAAACCTGGAGGGCATCGCCAACCATGACAAAGAATTCATTGGGGTCGGGGGGGACAGGTAACCACATGCCGTCATGTGTGGAGATCTGAAGGCCACCGATTTCGTTGGACCGCAGGATGGTCAAGATCTGAGGGTCAGAATGCTCCCCAAAACCAATGTTATTATTGTTCTTGTTGCTCTTCACCTTGAGGTTCAACGGAGGGTAGTGATTGATCCTCAGAACTGAATCACTATGGACATCTCTGATGAGCCTGCTTAGTGCAAGCTTGTCTTGGACCCCCAAACCCTCCGCCACCATATCAAGAATCTCACATGCTAGTTCCTTAACCTCTTCTATATAATCATTCACAGCACCGCTGCAATTCAAGCCCCCAAATTATGTAATCATAAATGCATATAAGATATGTAATCAAATAATATATCACTTAACAAATTATGTATGCATAAATGCAGTACATGTTTGGCGTAAAATAAGATCCGCTCACATTAAAATATTATTTTAGATGTTACATATTAAAAAAAAAAGGATCCATCTATAAATTTTTTTTATAAATTTTTGTAAATTATATTATATACTCCTGAGAGAACATTAGTGTAGTTTGTAAACAAAAAATTTGTAAATATTATTACAAAAAAAAAGGGTTTAGTGTTTGTCATTTTAAATGATATAAGTTATGTCATTTTAGGAGAGAGATAAACACAGGAAAATGGAAATCATGGGAGAGAGAAAGTGTGTGGTTTTTTTTTAATTTAAAATTTAAATAATTTTTTTTTCCGTGTCTGTCTCTCTCTTAAAAGGACAGAGAGTTATGTCATTTAAAATGACAAACACTTTTCCCAAAAAAAAGTTTGTAAATATAACTCTCCCCTTAAATTTTATATATATATATGTATATATATATATATGCTAAAGTGTGTGTCATTTTAAAGGATGTAAAGTTGTGTCATTTTAAGAGAGAGAAAGAGATAGATAAAGAAGGAGAGAGAGTTGACAAAAAAATAAAGGTGTGGGTCCCACTTCTTTATGAGAGTGAAAGGATATAATTTGTGTCATTTAAAAGGATAAACAATTTTCAATATATATATATATATATATATATATATAAAAAGTGGTGTATAAGGATCATTTCATTATATTAACATGGAGACCAGATACCTAAAAGGTTGTTTTGGTGTTAATATAATGAAATGATTCTTATACACCACTATATATATATATATATATATATATATATATATATATATATATATATATATATAGGGTATTACTTTTCTTATGTTGTATAAGAAAAGTACTATCTCCTACTCAAACAATGAATAAGAGAGAAAAAAAATTGAAAGTGAGAGAGAAAAATTCTTATGAGACCTATTTAAAAAATGTAAGTGTAGGAGATAATATTTTTCTTATGTAACATAAAAAAAATATTAACCATATATATAAAGTGGTGTATAAGAATCATTTCATTATATTAACATGGAGACCAGATACCTAAAAGGTTGTTTGGTGTAGCCCATTAGTTTTGTGGTACACGTGTTGCAGCATATCTTTTCAAGTCTAATATTCTTATTAAATTGAAAGAATATTCATAAAGAAAGTCAGCTCAATTGATTCATAAAGGATGCAAGTTAAATAACATAAATAAATTTCAAATTTCAATATTTAATTTAATGGCATTTAAAAAAAATTATTGAAGAACAAAAACAAAAATAGTACTCACTTTTACAATAAAATTAATGTTTTCCCCAAATGATAAACAAAAGTACAGAACCTATAAAAACTACGGGGATTATATTCTTCATGTCGAAGAAATTAAATTTTTTATCATGTTAAAAAAAATAAAGTATATAATATTAAAAAAATGAGAGGATATTTTATTTAATAAAAATGAGAGGATATTCCTACGATACATGAGAGATATAGTTCCCGACAATTATTATGCAAATAGAAGAAATCACCATGATGATTGTCATGACTTACACATAGACGGATCCAACGAATTCAAAGGTGCAGTAGTCTTAATCGTGCTGACGAAACAAACACATATATGAAAACAATTGCATACATGGTAATTAAATAGCATGTTTGATTTCAGAATATAAAGGGAAGATGTTATTGTTTAGGACACCAAGCATCAACAATAATGTTCAAATTTGCTAAAAAAAATAAATAAATTCTTCCACCATTTGATATCAGAAAAAATTGCCGTGTATAAATTATTCTGTTCGTGGGGCATAGGCCCACTGTCATACACCCAGATTCAATTTTTATTTATTTATTTTCATTCCAACTCATTCGAATGTCATTACCACGAGTTCACGACTGGGAATAAAGAAATCAAATTCAGATCCACAAGAAAAAAGAAGAAGAAGGAAATCAAATATTTGTCAAACACCTGACAGTCACAAAGCAGACCGCGCCAGCCTGCTTGTCACTTAAGAAACACAAACAGAAGGCCCTGTTCCCTACCCTATGCTCGCTTACAAATAAGTAACAACTGCTAGTACGGAAATTCTATCATTAGTTTTTTAAACTCTGAAACGAATCTACAAAATACAAATAATAATAATAATAAAAGATAAAATGTTTAAAACTTAAACGAAAGTTATACAGATTAAAATTAATCGATTAATAAAATAATTTTATTTCTTACACATGTATAAAAATATATAGATCTCAAGTGAGATTATGTGAAAAGAAGAAAGAGAAAAATAAAATACGAGTCCTACACACAATTATATATATGTTAGAGATAAAATTATTTCATATAACATGAAAAATATTAGTCTCTTAAATTGAAAGGGAATTTGAAATTAAAATTTTAAAAAAGAAGAAGAATAGCATAACATGTATAGACAAGAGAATAAAATATAAAATTAAACTCATGTTATCGTATTTTAATTTAATAAATAAATGTGTATATGTATGTATGATGTCACTAGTATACATTAATTAATATCATGTTTATTTTGCAACTGATCAGCATAGAAGGGAAACTAAGATTAGTACTAGTAAATTGTTAAGGAGAAAGATTATAATATTGAAGTGATACCTGAACTTGGTAGAGTCATTTGCGATGGTTTTGGATCTCTCAGAGATGGAAAGAGGATTAGTATGAAGTAGGAGATATTCGAGGTCACCCATATCACCATTTAGGCCAATATTTCTGAAGCCATAACCAAAAGGAGAGGCTGGGCCAGCTTGACGCTTCTCCATGGTGGGTTTGGCAAAAAACTCAGTTCCCTCCTCTTCCAATCTTGAAATAACCTCCTTTGGCACACTGTGGTTTACCACCTTGAAGAAACCGTATTCCTCGCAGGCTTTCACTACTTGTTCCGCCAACTCTGACGTTTCCATGGATAGGTCAATTGTAGGGATTCCCATAGCCTTTGTTTTCTTGGTTCTTATCATGATGGAACTTGGAGAAGGCACAACCATTGCTATATATATATCTATATATGAAGAAATATGTATTCTGGTGGATCAAGAGCTCTAGACGGGTATAGAGTACGTCTTGTTTAGAGAAAGGTGGCATCATATATCATTTATATATAAGGAAGGGGAGAGGAAAGAATGAGGTGAAAGGAGAGAGGGTTATGATTCAAATTGATTATTATAAAATGTTAACGACCAAGATGGGGTATGATGTTTTTAATTAACAATTATATAGTGAGAAACCGATATATTTTTGTTTATATAAAGTGGCGTGGACTTTGTACACAAGACAGACCAAGATGGGTGAAAAGGAAAGAAAAGGACTTCAAAGAGGAAAGGGATTGAAATCTTTGTTGCGTGAGGGTGCAAAAAAATTGGTTCACTTAGTCTGTCTTTGACCTGACCCATAAATATTTATAATTTTTGAATTGGGTTTAAATACTGACCCACTTTTATTTGGGTCAGTTTTGGACCTGATTTATTTTAATAATGACTTATTGACTCAAAACTAGACTCACACTTATTATGTGAGAAAAAAAGAAAAAAAATCACACTTACATTAAAAGAAAAGTTTTAACGTAAAACAATTACGTCAAATTTTTTTACGGAAATTATTTCCGTAAAAAAATTTTGCAAAAAATTTTGACCAAAATTTTTTTCATCAAATGTGTGACTAAAATTATTTCTGCAAAAAAGTTTGACGAAAAATTTTTTTGTCAAATTTTTTGGAACAGTGACCAAAATGTCACTGTTCATCAACTTTTTTACCTAAATGCCACGCGAACAATCTTATTTCCTAATCTGCCACGGGGGCGAGTTCGCTACCCGTTGTAGCGAACTCGATTTGCTGACGTGTCACGTTTCTAGTGGACACCAAGTTCGCTACACGGGGTAGCGAACTTGGCTATGTAGCGACTTTCAAACCTTTTTTTTTTAATTTGGTACTTGTTATCCACTAGAAATGTGACACGTCAGCAAACTGAGTTCGCTACACCGCGTAGCGAACTTGTCCCGTGGCAGATTAGGAAATAAGACTGTTCGTGTGGCATTTAGGTAAAAAAGGTGGTGAACAGTGGCACTTTGGTCACTGTTCCAAATTTTTTTACGAAATCTAAATTTCGTCAAAATATTTCATAACATATTCATCAAAAAATTTGACGAAACACATTTCCATCGAAATTTTTTACAGAATTCAAATTTTGGCGAAGGTTTTCGACGGAAACATTTTCGTTAAACTTTTTGACAAAATAAAAAATTTCGTCGAACTTTTTACTGAAACACATTTCCATCGAAAATTTTCAACTAAATATTTTCGTTAAGTTTTTTGATAAAAAATATTTCCATCAATATTTTCAACGAAACACATTTCGTTCAAAAAATTTCGTAAAAATGTTTGACAAAAAATATTTCGTTAAAAAATTATGACGGAAAAAATATTCTGTCAAATTCTTTAGAGAATCTAAATTTCGTCAAAAGTTTCGAATGAAACATTTCCCTCAAAATAATTTCCATCGAAATTTTCGTCAGAATACATTCTCATCGAAATTTTGAACAAAAAATATTCCGTCAAAATTTTTGACAGAATTCTTTTTTTGTTTAAAACATTTGATGGAGGAAATAATTGAAACTAAAGTTCGATAGAAAATTTATTTTTGTAAAAATTTTCATTAGAGAAAAAATTTCGTCAAGTATTCCGACGAAAAAATAATTTTGTGACGAAATTTTCGTCATTTGCAACGTAAAAATTTCAACGAAATTTTGTGACGAAACCAAGTCAAAAACGAGTCAGGTCACATTTGACCCACTTCAGAAACCAAGTCAGACTCACTTAAACCAAGTCAGACCCACTTAAGAAATCAAGTCAGGTCAGATCTGATCCAGTTCCGAACTAGTTCAAAAAAATCCAAACCAAACCAGACCTGATTTGGATCAAATTAAAGCGAATCGGGTTAAAATACCTGACCTATAAAAATTAAATTGGGTCAAGTCGGCGCAAAAACCAGACCCGACCACACTCATGCGCACCCCTACTTTGTTGTGCATGAATTAATTGATAGAAGGAAGGAATCTCGATCGATCTGTCAAGTCTGAAATCCCCCCTCTCCCGTAACCTCCACACAAATAATACGAATCGAGTTTGGAAAGAAAATTTATTTACCCGTAGAATGGTAACTTCCGTATAAGAGTTAATTCATGTGAAAAGAGAAAAGGTTGAGTGTATCCAAAAAAAAAAAAGAGAGAAAAGGTTGAGACCTTGTTGGGAGCCAACTGGTAGAGGAGATTATCGTAATAAGTTTTGTTTCTACCAACAATTTTTTTTTTCATACATATGACCATGAATTGAACCCATTGTCAATATATTTAAGAGACCAAACTATCTATCAGTTGTATCGGGTTTTGTAATTAGTTGCTGTTTGATATCCTTTAATTGGAATAAATTTTTGGTGCTACTGTTGCACTAAAAATTCAGTACATACTATTAATAAAAATATTACATCTCAGTCAAAGTTTTCTTTCCTATGCCAAATCTTTTCTCTCTTCTTTAATATGTAATACTCCTATTGATGGAATACACTGAATCTAGATGCAACAATATATAACACCAAAGATTTATTCCCTTTAATTGGCGTTTGCTTGTACCAACGCCTTTTTGGGACCGTGTAGTTAAAAAAGTCTTGTATTAATAATCCAACTTGAGATTTTCGCAAAGTTTTTGAACTATAATAAGTCATTGAAAGTGGGTTATGATAAAATTTGACTAGTTTGTACGAGGTTATCGATTTAAATTTTAATTAATGTTGTCGTTGTATTAAAAAAATATGATATAGTTCAAATTTAATTCATCATTGAATCAAATAAAATTTAAAAAATAATTATATTAAGACATAACCAAATCACATTTTAATTAGTTAAGATCACAAGTTCGATATAAATTTTAAAACGAAGTTAAGAATTAGTCTTTTCTTAACAAATAAATAACAATACATATATTGAATCAAATTATAATATATAAAGAGTAAATACCATTTTTATTCCCTGACAAAAAATACGGTCCCCACTTTAGTCCCTTACAAAAATAAATTAGTCAGTTAGTCCCTAACAAATTTAAAGCGGACCCATTTCATTGAAAACATGGTCCTCACAAATTCAAAAAAGACCCATATTAGTTTCTCAAAAGGACTAAAATGGGTCCACCTTGAATTTGTCAGGGACTAACTGACTAATTTATTTTTGTAAGGGACTAAAGTGGAGACCGTGTTTTTTTGTTAAGGATCAAAAAGAGTATTTACTCTATAAAGAGTAAATTAATATCCTTCTTATTATGTTTTTATAAAAGATATAAATTATTATAGAGTTGGTTGGTTTATGAAATTAGAACTATTTCCTGCTAATTTATATTATTATGAAGGATCCTTGTTTCTTATGTTGTCTAATTTTTTTTAAAAAATAATTACAAGTTATAATTGTATATAAATTATAAATTTTAAAACTATTAAAAGTTATAACTGTATATAAATTTTATTGAAATTTAAATATTTAAAACTTAAAATAGAAAGAATAAAATGATAAATACTTTTATTCCAAAATTATAACTACCGTCAAATATTTTTTAACTTAATACTATTGTTATAATATTTACTTCAAACATTATTGTTATTATTAAAAAATATATAAATGTACATACACGTAATGCCGGTTATTATGCTAGCTATAAAATAAGATTTATCATCATTAATTATGCTATCGACACTATTAAGTTATGATTTCAGAGAAAAAACTATTATATTATGATTTATTTTGTATTAAACATAATAATATTAAGTAATTCTTATTTCACTTGAATTAAGTTATTTGAAAAGCATTATCTTTATTCATTTAATTCTTATTATCTATTGTCAATTGCAAACTTAATTTCAAAGACATTGTTAAATTATTCATTAGGCTTTTAGGTGTACTGTAACAATATTTTAATTTTAAGTCGTCAAAGTGCGTATAGATGATGTTGGATAATGGTGAGCAACCAGAAACTAAAGAATTTGCTGGTTCTGGAATCTGCAGAAGACATTAATTGTCGGATATCCTTTTTCGCTAGGGCGGCTTTTGTTGAGACATGTTCCTCTGTGCTTTAAAACGATAATTCAATTTAATGCGAAAACTTTTTTCATTTGAAAAAAGCTACAAGTACAATTATTCATCTTAGCAAAAATATATATGTACGATTATTTTTATTTTCTGTTTATAGATACTTGAATGCCCCATCTAACGTTGTTCCAGCTGGGAAATGGGGAAAAGGGAGACCCAAAGTCTTAACATCCACTTTGTGACGGCAAGTGTGCCTTGTTTGTTTTGTACTATGTGATACTTTTCTACTGCAATAAAGTATAGGAAAAAAGCTTACCAAAAAAAATAAAATATAGGCACTGCAAGAAACTTTTTTATTAGTGACAAAGTTTTATAAAATTTCGTCACAAATTTCTATGTCACAAGTAAATTTTGTCACAAATTCTTGCGTTGCAAGTTTATTTGTGACGAAATTTGATTATTTATGTCAAAAATTATCATTTGTGACAAAATTTATAAAAAAAAAATTTCGTCACAAATAAACTTTTTTTCTTGTAGTGAGGAAAAATGATATTTCTATATATATGATAAACTTTTCATAAATTCTCGCGTATACAATTAAATAACACATTAGTCTCAACTGTAATATTGAAAGCGAATTAGTGCCAGTTCAGCATAAATCAAATGAGAACGAGTTTCACCGCTTTACATTTTCTAGAAACTTACACTTCATTTGTTAATGATTTGCGTACTAAATATTATTAATGTTTTAAAGTCAATATATTAATAAGCTAACTTGTAAACAATGTTCGAAAAATTATAAGTAAGCAAACAATAAATTACTTTAGTTATTGGTATGGAATCTATTTTTGTGATGCGCAATAAGTAAAAATTTTAAACCTAAATATGGTGATATATAAGATACATCATAATGAAGTGAA